AGTAGGGGGTTGAAAAACTATTTTATATTGACAAATTGTTCGACAATAACTGTTACAGTGTGAGCTGGATTCAAAATGTAATTTTTTCACAATTTTATTCATGTCACAACACATCAGAATTAGGGTATGAAGTTTTTAACATTGTATTATTTATTTCATGCTATAAATTACTAACTACTACTTTCTTAAATTAACTTGCTTCTTTTCTTCATAAAAACTGGTGAGTCAAGTGACTACAGCATAAATGAGAAAGCATTACATTAGTAATTATTTATAAGAACTTTCGAGGGAAAATAAAGAAGAGGGTATATTAATATGTAAATCACAACATATCTGCTACATCCACTGCTAATGAAATCTTCCACCCAATACCAGGACTCTTCAGGCCAGCTGGATACAATAGATATGATAGAATTAAGATAGAAAGAAATAAGTAACTACTATACAACATGCTACAGAAAAATGAGACAATTAAATTTACAGTAATTTAATGTAGATAAAACAATTCTAGAACTACCAGTGATTTCTTAAAATCCTAGGGTGCAAAAAATATACAATGATAAAGCTACCTCATGATCAGCATTCTTCAACCCAATGCAGTATGAACGAGAAGCTCTGGCCAAAACTGCTGTCATTGCATACACATCAATAGCAACATCAGCTAGTCTCTTCAGCTCCATCTGGTGGTCAACAACTACCTAAGCATCAAAATATAAAAACTAATAATTAACTTATTACATTTTAGGCAGCAACTATTATTATTTATATTTATGTTTGAAACTATAGCTGCTGATACATAAACACATACACACACACACACAAAACAAAACAAATTGCTCTTTAATATATTATGATTTAAAGAAATTGTGAGTATATTTAAAAATATACATATATTACTTTGCCATGTCTTGCCAGCACAAGCTCCACTCCATATTGCAACCTCATTACTGAATATTCAAGCCATTCTGCTGCAATCTGGAAAGGGAAGAAAATATCAGGTTTATATTGGAGGGTGATCCAATAAGAATAACATTATAGGGAAAGTTAACATTGTCACATGAGAACAACACAATTAGAAAAAGGGTATAAATAAGAGTAACAATCATCTTGTGAAGGAAAATAAATACCTGAAGAACCAACAAAGCTATAAGATAAGAATATTATTACAGGGCGATTGAATAAAATTAATATATGGATCTGAGAGCAAGAAACAGCATGAAAAGTGAACACACCTACAAGACAGGAATATTATTTACATGGTGATATGATGAGTAAAAAAAGATTATAAAAATCACAATAAAAATATCACCATTTCCTAAAATGTGATTAAATGTAGATAAAATTAAAACTGTAAATCAGGTGACAGAAAAATGAACAAAGCTTAAAGCATAATTACCTCAGGGGTTACTGAACACAGGCAATATAGGGATACATTAAGTCAAGTAAACAGGAAGAATAAACAAAGCAAGAACATGCTCATCTAGAATATGGTGATGAGCAAGAATAATGTAACGATGTGGTGGATACAAACAAAACACAAGGAAAGAGCTCAAAGACAGAACATGGTAACATGGAGTGCAACTCAAAAACTATTTTTAAATCTGTTAAAAACATAAAATCCAATATGATAAACAACACAAAACGTGACTATCTGAACAGGTAAGGGTGACTGCATATATATATAAGAATAAACCAATGGCCTCAAGAGTGAAAAAAAAAGCAAAATTTAACAGATCTACAACACTACAAATGAATACATGTAAGTTAGATGGTAAGAAGAGAAATATAAAAACCCAAGTTGAGAAAATCATAGTTAGATGAAAAAAATGGCTAAATAACAATAAAACATTAGTCTGATAAATTAAAGATGAAAAGACAGTTACAAGAAAGTTGACAAGTAAAATATAAAATATTGGTATGATGAGTTAAAAAGATATATTTTAAAAATAACTTTAGCCCACAGGTAAGGTAAGAACCTATAATTATCTTAGATGTAACAAGATATAACTGAACATGGATACTTGACCATGATAAAATATTAAATAAACTGGATACCTGAAATATGATAAGATATTAAAGAAACTGGATATTTGAAATATGATGAGATATTAAAGAACATGGTCACCTAATACATACCAAAATAGCAAGGAACCTGGATACCTGAGATATGATAAAGCATTAACCCTCTCACTACAGGAAGGTCAAAGTGTACATGTCATGGTTTTTAAGAGTTATATTCAAAATATAATTAAATTACTTTATTATCATTGTATACAAATATATTTGGCATCAAAATGTAGTTAACAAATCAAATTTTATAAGGAAATATTTAATATGAGAATTGTGACATTTCTCTCAAGGTCTTCCCTCTTCTCCAATTTATTTACCACTTCTCAGCGAAGTATAGAAGTTAACGTAAATTACTTGTTATAACATATATATATTATTCAGGCAAAGCATAATTTTTATAGCCTTCAATCTTATTTGTTTATGGAACCGTCAACTAGGAAATCAGACCCACTTGCCAAGCCCCCCTGTCACATCCTCTTTTCACAAATTGCCAATAGTTCTCTCTGATATTTTATTCTAAAATATTTATAACCAATAGAATGACAAAGCTTTAATCTATCATGTGATATGTTATATTACATTGTTTTCTTTACAGAGAATTGTCTATTTCACCTCCAGTTATAAAATTTTTCTCATGGTATTTACATAAAGTAGGCTTAAGTTTCCTTGACAGTTGACAGCAAAAAAAAACAAAAAATGCAGGTAAGTACTATATTTCTTGTTTTTTATATGTATTCTTTATTTATTATTACAAATGTAAAAGAACAAACTTATTAGGTTTTATAAGGTTAGATTAGGTAGGACAATGAAAAAGAATAATAATAGCAGTTCTTCACAAGGTATGCTTGTGAGCAGCTTGTGCATTATGTAATTCGATATGGTAACATAAGCTGCACATTCATTGAGTGATTTACAACTTGTGTAGTGGGATTACTAGTTAGACATGGTTCAAAAGGCAACAAAACAATAAAAGTAAGTATGAACTGTTATGAGGTTTAAGCTATTTAGGATAAACAATTGTAATTTCATGTTACAATTTGCAGTAATTCTAGATAGAAATGAGTAACCTATACTTAACTTGTATTTTTTAATGGTGGTTACAAAGTTAGTGAAGTTGGCCAAATGGGTATAGAGTTAGGGTAGAGAAAATAAAATATAAAGTTTTACTGAAAAAAAAAAGTTTAATATTTGTTTAGAAGACTTAAAAGATTATACAAATGAAATTTCAGAATTTTCAGACAAAGAAAATTATTTTTAATCTTAACATGCAAATCACTTTGCATACAAAGCAATCAACACTTTGACTCTATATATATATTCATGGATACATTTTAGTAAAAACACTTGATTAAAAAATCTAATTTTTTGTGTACAAAATACTTGTAATGTATGCCTTATTAAAAGTTATAGCATGGAATTCCTGATGGTCGTTTTGGGGGTTATGAACTTGGTCATTTGGACCAAGCCCATATCAAGAGGGTTAAAAAACCTGGCCACCCAGAACATAATAAAGTACTAAAAAACCTGGATAACTGAGATACAACAAGATAGTAAGGAACCTAGTTATTTACAGCAATGCAAAACAAGATAATAATCTGGAGTATGACAACATAATAGTCTGGTTAACCAGAGCAAATTAAAACTGAACCTAGTTACCTCAAGCAAATCAAAACTATGGCTCCTTTGAACATGTCAATTCTCCTGCACCATGACAAGAAAAAAACCTGATAACCTGAGGCATAACATGACAATGGTGAAATATGACAGTGACACAACAGTACTTAGTTGCCCAAGATACAATAGGACAGATATTCTCATCAAAATGTAGCACAATAAAATGAAACCTTAGCTACCCAATGCATATTAAATCAAAAACCTGTGTACCTAAGATACAATAACAGCATGGTTACCCACAGCATGACAAGAACCTGCTTACCTGAGACATAAGAACTTTATTATCTAAGACATGACAATGACCTGGTTACCTAGGGCATGACAAGAGCATTAAAATAAAATAAATAAAATAAAATAAAAACATGGTTACTGACAATGAAAAATTATAGTAACCTAGAACATAAAAAGACAAGATCATACATATGCAAAGCAGGTAAAAACCATGAATATACATTGTGTAATAATCCAAAACAAGCCAGAACATTATAAAACCATAGTTTGATGTAATAATGACACTGTAACTTACAGTGTGATTAGAAAATTTAACAACCTGTAAGCTGATAACACAGGAATAGAAGAAGAATGTGGTTTCTTGTATATTTATAACATAAATAAGATTTGGTAAAAGAAGGGATAATATAGTCACCGGAATTTATTAGCAATAGGGTAGTCTGGAATGAAATAAAAAAAAAGGTTGTTGACAATAAGATATAGCTTACTTCAAACATGACATACCAGAATATGATTTGGTGTCTAATGAGATATAAATGGGCTACTTCAGATAGGTAATATGTAACTTATTTCAAAAGTCCTGGAAGGTGTAAATAATAAAGTGTAAGTAGATTTTTGAAGGGTCGTAAGACAAAACATGGTTTCTCAAGGGATAGTGTTTTTTTAATCACCAAGATTTTAAATATTAAAGTATAAATGTAAATGATGAATAGCAGTGAAGTAGTAAATCCTTTTATATAGCAAAATCACATGATCTCTGCAAAGAAAATTTGCCATGTAGCAAAAACTTTTGGTGTAAAAGTAGAACTCTTGATTAAGTGTAACAAAATAACAGAACTTCCTATGGGCATAAAATCTTGATGCCTACTGCTAAGGATGGATGTACATATCCCCGCAAGTCCATACTTAGTTTCACTCTGTCATTCTTTTGTCGGCTCCTCTGCAAGAGCTTTTGAATGGTAAAGGCTGGATTCATGAATGGGTTACGTAATTTTCTACAAGAGATGTAAAACATAATCTGTTATTTACTATACTTTAAAAATTTTAATGGAATTGAACTGCTATTAATGGTTTACTTAAAAAAACAAGGCTTATGGAGGACTATCCACATTCAATTTAAAACAAAGTTTGTCACAATCCACCTAATGTTACTTTACACAGGCCTATGATGGTTTTATTGTAATGAAATTTTTACATGTTCTACAGTAATTCATGCACACTGAATCCGAAAATGATATCCATTTTTCTCTGTCACGTATAGATTTTTCACAAAACGGTATAATGCAATACATAAAAGAAAGACCACAACACAGAGTTTTGAGACTAAAATATGTAGATTTCACAAAAATCGGGATGAATGAGGATGCATATTTGTTGACATCAACGTTCTTCCCTTTTCTTAAGTTTCTTTGTATTTTTGTTAACAAACATAATAATAAAAAATGTTCATCGTGGTAAACAAAATAATAATTTGATCTAAGTAAGTTTTTTCTTCCTGACTTGTAAAATATCCTTATGTGATACAAAAAAATGAATATTATTTTTGAAATCTGCGTAGCTGAATTATGGAGAATGCATTATTAAAACCAAAACAACTTTTATGAAGTTTAAATTTGCAGGCTTGTTATTAGCCCATCACTTTTGAAATTCTAGGAAAAATTGGTGATGATTTTTCAAGATTTCAAACTAGGGATTTAAATGAAAACTTTCTCACTCTCTGCTAAATTCCAAAATTGATTTACAAAAAATCATCTTTCTTCATTTATCATATTACATTTATGACAAAAATGCATCATAACTATCAGTATTATAATTCAATATCAGAACTTAAATAAAATTCTGTCTTTCTATAACACTACAATAAAAAAATACTGAGAACTAATAATTTTTTCACTTCCTAAAGTATTGTTTACTGTTTGTGTATATAAATTTTTAGCCATGGCATAGTGGCTCATAGAATGGCTTTGAGTTGTTGTTTTTTTATCAAGTACAAACTTTTAGCCCATAGCTCTGTCATCTCTTGACAGATCAGTGAATTAATTACAGTTTTGGACTCGGGAGGTCAAACCATTTTGAATGGTGTATTTGACCACGCCCAAGGTCTCATAGATTAATTTACTCTAATCCTGCCTAAACAAATTTTAATTTGAAGGTAGGCTGGTAGAGATTCTGATAAGTAATAAAATCGAATCAGATATATGCACGCCATACGCTTGGTATTGCTGATGCACAAAAATATAGCTAATAAAAAGGAAAAAAAAAAGGTCTCAGATTAATTTACTCTAATCCTGCCTAAAAAAAATTTCAAGTGCCATGGCTACTGAGGATTCCCTCTTGTTTTTGTACATGTAGCTACACCACTGCAAAGAAATGTACTCGTATATTTTTTTTTTACAAAAATAACTTTTCCCCTCAATCCATCTGAAATACAGATTTCTTCAAATAAGCTTTTTGTTTTAATGATTTTGCAGTATTTATTTAGGTACAACCTAGGCATTTGATTAAATATCTAAAAGTTTTAAATAATATTTCCTGTAATAAATTATTTTTTCTTATTAATGACATTTAGATTTTTAACTGGAACTAAAATACTTCGATGAAAAGAATATAAACTGATTGGTATATTTCCACAATGAGGATTTCCTTTACATCTACACTTTTAAATCTATATAACAGTAATTGCAAATAAAATAAAACAAAATACTACACATTTTACTAACCTGACAACATCCTTAAGTTCCACCCCAGCATGTTGACATCCTACCAAGGAAATATAAAGTCTTAGGATCTCATTGGTTCCCTGTAAGAAACACAACAAGTATAGTGATGCTTTTCAGAGATACTGCAGTGTGTCAGAAGAATTCAGCACCATGTTCTAGTGTATAATATACAAGTTATAGAAATTCTATCCAGGGTCTCATAGAGTGAAAAATAGAGTATAGATACTATATATATTAGGAAAATTCGACTGAATTTAGAACTTTTCAAATAAATAAAAATTATGCAATTGGAAGATGCAAAATAAAAGTTGTAGAATTTAAAACTAAAATTCACAAGTACTTCTGTGAATACAAATATAGTATCAATGCATTTATTTCAAGTTATTTTATGTTATTTGTATCACACTGAGGTACATTTCAATGTTCTTCAATAACAAGATCGATGGCTAGAAAATATATATTTAATCTGGCTCTTGGGTGGATGCATTATTGCATCAATAAACTCTATTGAGTATTTCTTTACAGGTCTCAAACTAAAGTTATTCAAACAATGCTTCTACACAAGATACATAATTAAAATACATAGTCCTCATATTTAAGAAGAAATATAAAGACACGATCTCCAGATTTTGAGATACTTTTAAGATACTAATTTTTTTGGTAGGGGTGAGAACTACACTTCACTATTTATTACTATTATCTATTTACATGCTAGAAGAGTTTAGCATTAGCCAAAGCACATGATTTTGATCTCCTTCCAATGGTGGAGTCTTTATGTGCTACATTTATTGGTGCACCTTCCAGGTAGTGTTGCATCATCCCTAATTCCAGACTACCAACCACAGAGAGACAGCAACCATTTTTAGAACTTATCATTGTTATTACTGTATATCACTTTTTTATAGTGATTTTTATTTTTAACACTAAGTGCCCAATATTTTTAATATGATTACTTCTTCTATTATTTTACACTTGGGGAGTTTGGCACTTTAAGAGTGGTTAATTTCAGAAACAACACTTATGGTTACAAAGTGAGAATAATTCCTGGTTTGAACACACACACACAACAATTTCCTTCCTGAAGTGTTAAATATTAAAATTGAATGGTAAAATGTTGAGTGCTATTTAAGTATAACATATACAGGTTTTTGCAAAATATACAACACAGAAAACCTTTCTAACTTATCAAAAAACTTTTAGGAATCCACACCTTCTCTGAAACTACTGTTAATTATAAGCCTATTTAAATTACCTCAAAAATCATCATGATTCTCGAGTCTCGCAGATACCTCTCAAATGGGTAGTCTTTCATGTAACCAAGACCTCCAAGAATCTGCAGACATTCGCTGATGCTCCACCATGCAACTTCTGAGCTAGCAACCTGTAAAAAAAAGTATACTGTAAATAAGTTTTACATATAAAAGGATTTTTCAATAAAGGTTTTGTACTTGAACAGTTAGTAATCTTAATGCGTCAGGACACAAGTTAAAATGTAAGCAATTACAAAGCAACTTACAACAATGGCGTATAACTATTTTATTCTTCAGTATGATTTTTTTTTTCTGACAGTACATTAGCTGTTTTATATAAAAATGTACAAGTTTAGCTTTTGTTCGCTTCTGAAAACTAATGAAAAAATTGCAGTGTTTTATGATGATAAATGAATACTACTACTCAGAATGAGGTACATAGAAAGACTATATTTTCAAGCATTTCTCAGAGCATATTGTTCCTACACAAAATATAATTTGATGCATTTGAGCCATTTAAAAATAATAAACTCATTACAGGATGTCTTTAGCAGTAATGATCCACTTAATCTTTTTGCTTCAAAAATTCTATATATAACATTCAGTTAGCTTTTATTTTTGTTTTAAATTTCAAACAGGCAGATAAAGAGAAGAATCCACTGTAACAATTAAACAGTTTCCTAACATTGTAGCATAGTTAAGTATTACCTATGTTTTTCTTATGCTTTTTTAACAGCTTAATACACAATTGAGGTCAAATTTCTATTGTATTTATAGAGTGTGGTACTCTGGCTATTCATGTATAGTTGTTATCAGCTTAAAATTTCAATCCTAATATTACAGTCTTTACATTACTGTGAAACATCATACTTTGCAAGTGATTAAAATGACAATGTATATGAGTATGGAGTTACATATCAAGAGGATATATATATTGTTGGAAGTAAATTACCACTACCATTAACTCATCCCAAAAGTTTGGAGAGAAAAAGCAGTCAATCCACCAATATTTGAAAATTTGGAAGTTCATGAAAAGAATTTTTAAATTGATTGGTCTTTATTTTTAAACTAGAAGAGACCTTGAGCAACAAATATATTTGTATGTATTTGTGATAATTAGAGATATAAAAAAAACACTTACCTTGACCATAGCTGCCTCCATAGAACAATCAGGACTCTCCAATGTATCCAATAGTCCAGCTGTTAAATATGCCATGCTCTCCACGGCATAAATACTACAGGTTATCTTTGCTATCTTTTCCTGCAACAATAAGAATTTACAAAATTTAGCAGACAAAATATTATGTAAAGTTGTGTAATAATAATTTTAAAGAGTAAGTTTAAAATTACAGTATGAGTGTTTAGACATATCTTCACTTATTAACATTTCCTAACCTATATTGTTTCTCAAGTGTTTAAGATTTATCTCACACTTGTTTGACTGATTTATGCTAGAGGAATATCTAATACCTTGAACAAGTTTTAAGTTACTTTACTCTCATTTAGAGGTATAGAAACAATGAGAGTACTGCTGAATCATACTTTTTCAAAGCTTAACATTAACTCCTTATTAAAGTTGGGAGAAAATAATAATGTTTGATAAGATATAAGCTTATGAATAGAAAGATATTTAAGTGGTTTTTATTTATAGATTATATGAAACCTTGAGTAGTTTATTTTTCTAATTCACCTGGATCATGTGAAACTCTGCAAGTGGTTTTTTGAATTGAACTCTGTTGATAGCATGTTCCACAGTTACACCTAGAGAGAAATAATTGATATTGTAAGTAGAAAGCTATAGTTTTATCTGATAACAGCAGGAGCTTACAATTCTAAAAATATTCATTCATCACAAGTCTGCAGCTCTAATTTAAAGATATAACTGTATATAATAAAGCCTGAGGTTTTAATTTGAAGTAAATAACACAATCCTAAAGTACTAATTTAAAGAGATATCTGTATAAAGTATAATGGCTAAGGCTCTAATTTAAAAATAATATTACTGTTAACAACATTATCCTGGAGGTTTAATCTAGATATATATATCTGTATAAAATTAAAAGCTTAAAGCTTTAATTTGAAGATATCACTGTGAATAACACAATCCTAGAATACTAATCTAACGATATATCTGTATACAGTATAATGTTTGATGTTTTAATTTAAAAATAATATCACTGTTAACAGTATGTACAATCCATGAGCTCTGAAGATAATTTCTTTGTAAAGAGTACAAGCCAGCAACATGAATTTAAAGATACCACTGTCAACACCCCATCTTGGAGCTCTGAAGCCAATCTTTATAAAAACAATCTTTATTTAGTACAATTTAAGATAACATCACTGTTAAAATCAAAATCCTAGAACTTTAAGAAATAATCTCTTAGTAAATAGCTTAAGCCTAAAGTGCTAATTTAAAGTTAACGTTCCACAGTACAGTCCTACAGCTCTCAAAGAAAGCTTAGTGCACAGATTGAAAATATAAAACCATTCCAAAGAAAAAAATCTTAGGTTATAATTTGATCATCTCTCTGCAAACATAGGACCAAGTTGAACATTTTGTATCTACAAAAAAGCATACATCAAGTATACCTTCAGTAAGAATAAATAAATAGGGAAACATTTAAATCTAGCTGAAATTTCCAAACTATGTAACTCTAGCTTAGCAAAAAACCACCTAATGGTTACATTTTAAGTCCACCTTTAAATATAATAGGTATAATAAAGCTACACTTTTCAAAGGAGTAAAAACGTTCTCATCAAACTGATAAATTGTGAAGTTTTAATACTTTAAATATATAAATGTCCTGCTAGGTTCATGGGTGACTAATCTGGTATCTAATTATATAAATTATTTGTTTTCTTTGTTGAATTTTGTGCAAGGTAGGCTATCATGTCTAATTCTGAAGTATTAGATTAAAGGGATGGCAGCTAGTCAACACCACCCACTGCAAACTCTTGGGCTACTCTTTTACCAATGAATAGTGGGATTGACCATCACATACTTGGTGGGAAGGGGGTG